TAGAGTATAAGTTAATATATTATATAAAATACACGTATGTGTGTGCCATCTTATGTTCTTCACATAGGTATATGTTGCCTGTATCTTTCTGTTGTTGGGAGATTTTGGGGAAGAAGCAATAGAATTCTTGGCTGGAGCAGGGGAATGTTATGGTTTCGTGTTGTTCATATTTTTGCAACTCGGATAAAAGCTCAGCGTGTTGCAATCTGACTTGAACAGAGTCAGGAAAAGCTCTGTCAAGCATTCTGTGAAAAGCAGATTTTGTAAGCATGAGTGCCACTGATTAGATACTTTTCAACACTTTGTTTTCCTTCAGAAATTAAACCAAAGCTTCCAGAAAAGTATTCTGCTCATGGACCTCAGATTGTCAGTATTCACCGAGTCTATATTCAAACAAGACAAGAGAAGCGCATTAATTTTACCATAGGAAGCCGAGCCTACTTACTTCCAAAAACTTCTGTTGTAATTAAGTGCCCTGTACGAAGGTTCCAGAAATCACTTATCCGGTGGGAGAAAGATGGACAACACTTACAAAACTCTAAAAGACTTGGCATCACTAAGTCGGGCTCACTGAAAATACATAGTCTTGAAGCTACTGATATTGGTGTGTACCGGTGTATTGCAGGCTCTGTGCATGAAACATTTGTGCTCAAACTCATTGGTACTGACAACAGATTGATAGAACCACCAAATCTTCGAAAACATGCCAGTGAGACCAGTAACACAGACCACAATGAGGCCAACAGCTTTGGGGCCAAATGGCATAAAATGAGCAAAATGTGGCAAATGTGGAGTAAGAAAAATGAGCTCTATCTGGGTGACAGGCAAGTAAATGATCAGCCATTTCTGCGAAATCTTGAAACCTTTGGGAGTAATTCAGCAGAAGACTTCAGCTCTCGTGAATTCAAGAATAAACGACTGGAGGCAGCAGTTCTCCAAGGCGCCTACAGCATGGATGCTGTGCAGTTTGAAGAACTGATAAGGAACATGAGTCAGCTCATTGAAACTGGAGAAGTCAATGATGACTTGGCATCCCAGGTCATTTATCAATTAGTTGCTGAATTATCTAGACCTCCACAAGCAACTACTGAAAAATGGAAGGGAACCCAGGATGAGAAACTCGCCTCGAAACTCATAGGCAAATCACCAAATGAATCTGAACAATTCAGCACAAAAACTGGTGATAAGTTATTGTTTGACCAGAAGGTTCCGGTTATTATGAGGCAAAAGGAAATTCCTCGAGTTTCCTTCAACAAAACAGTAACGATACGAATTGGAAATACAGTTTTTTTGACCAAGAATACTCATGCTGTCAACCTGCTGTGTGAAACAGCTGGTATTGGTGAAGTGAAGTATACGTGGACAAAAGATGGTGAGACATTAAAAGCGTCTGAGAGGTAAGTAAATAACTTCTCTTTTATTTCTGAATGACTTATTATGTCACTATCAACTGTAAAAATCCACCCTGCTGTGCAATATTAACACATACTGTTGTAAAAGTGAGATAAGAATGAACACTGTCCCTTCCAACTTTTAAAGTAATTTTTAATTTCTTTCAAGTGTCTGTTGTTTGGCTTTACTAACATCTAAGTGTGTGTCTATTTCCATGACGTTAATGTGGGAAGATTGACTTTTTTTTTACTAGGTGAAATGTTTTGGATGTCCTAACTGTATTTTGTGATCCTCCTTAATCATTCCACCTGCATCAGAAAATGGACAGATTTATACCCAATTTGAAGCCTATTGGATTTGTTCAGATACCAAATACAGTGGGAACACATTAAAAACTTCTGCTATTGTATAGATGAAAAGAAGTCTTAGTTCTTGCTCATTTTAAGGAGGGAAAAATAGCACTGGTGCCCTCATCCTTCAACACAGTAAATCTTTAGGTGTAACTGTAGATACATAACATCGATTTAAAAAGAAAGAAGAAGCTTTTATGGATTGTTTTTCTTTCAATACTTTAGAATTTACAAATATTCTGCTGAGGACAGTGGAATACAAAATAATAAAGGACCTATATTGCCATCATACTTCAGAACTATACCTGAAGAACAAGCACAGCAAGCGTGTGCTACATTCAGATATTTGCTCAAGACTGAGCAAATACTTTTACTTTACTGCTGATAAATTAGAAGCTCACCTGACAATATTAACATTAACTTCCTGTGTGAGCCCCTTGGAATTACAGCTAGCTCTTGAGTAATGAAAAAAACGATTCTGAAATGATAAAGGCGCTTTTGGATATTTCTCAACATACTTAACTGATTAACCGTGCTGCCAAGAAAAATATACTTCTGCAGGGCTATCAATTAAAGCAAAGACACCAAAATGAAACCATTTTTAAAAGTGTAAATGTTTTTGGAACCATGTAGCTCCCACTAGTTATGTTTGTTTTGTGAAACATGCATAATGTCCAAATAATTTGTTGCACGTGATACTTTCATTTTTTGGACATGATGGTGTTTTGTTTATTCATGAGTATCTGTTTGATTCCTAATGTCTAGTTTCATAAATTGCCTTCAGTTTAGCCCAGACTGATATTCTTGCAGTTAAGGGATACACTGGCAAAGTAGGTTTCTTGCCTATTTTTTTCACAGTAAGGTTTCTTATCCACAAATCCATATATATGTGTGTATATGCAAAAGCCAGTGACGTTGATAGCATTACATCTGAAAAAGAATGTGAGGAGGTAAATGGGCTGTTCATCTGTCAAGTTTGTAGAAGGCAGACATACTTGAGCCATGCATGAGGTGGCTTGTTTTGTTGAGACATAAGTATTTTTAATATGGGTTTTTTTTGTATCTCTTACTTTTCTAAGTGTACTGTGTGGGAGAATGCCAGAGCTACAGGTTTGTTGGATGTGATGAGTATATGGTGTAACTTAGGTAACTTACTGCTAAGAAAAAGGTAACAAGGGGGAAAAAGTCCAGGCTGCTATTTTCAGCCTCTTCCCCAGCCTGTGATTCTCTCATATCTTGCCTTGCAGGCAAGGTATTAGACACCTGTGGGGTTTTGGTGGAAGACTTTAGCTTTAATGATCATAACATTTAAAATACAAAGCCAAAAGCCACCACAAACACACACACACACACACACACACACACAAAACCCCCCAACCTACAGTGACTGGAAGTCCAACTGGACTGTGCATTTGTGAATTCCTCAATCCTGCTGAAAACCAAGCTTGCTCTGGAGAGATGGGTTTCTTGCCAAGCCTAATACTTTTAATTGTGGTAGTCTGATTTATTCATGCTGTTGTTCCTGAGGGATTCTGGTTTGTAGTAGCAAACTCGCTCTCCTCTAAATGGCTGCAACTAGGACACAGCTTTGTAGAAGGATATCTGAAGAATCTTCTGTGCATGTACCCCTTGGCACTCCCCTTTGGTCACCGAAGAGGAGGCAGAACTGTTACCGCATGCACTGGTCCAGAACGGTAAACTCCTGAAAAAGAGTTTTGCTGCTGTATCCGTAACTCCCGCAAGAACGTTCAGCTGGGTTTGTCCCAGGGTAGTAACCCTTGTCTTTCCTTGAATATCCTGCAGCGTGATTCTGGACACCATTGGAAAAGTGCAGATTCAGAATCCTACTCAAAAGGAACTTGGTGCATATGGGTGCCTGGTTGTTAATGACTTTGGTTTTGATATGGAAACATCATTGCTATTGCGTGCAGGTAAGACTGTAGTATCCACAGAATTGAGCATGTGTATTTTTTTTTTATATGTAAGCACCCATCCCCACTCCAATGTGAAATAGTTCTTTTGTTGGCAATCCATGAAACTCTGCTTGATTTAATAGGTGGCAATAAGATGGTCTTGTTGCCCTAAAACCACAGCAGGTGTGAACTCCGTCTGCTTGTATCTATCCCAATGTGTTTTCTGGCTGCTGCTTTGCAAACTGAATTCTGTTTCAAACTTGATGAATTTAAATACAGGATCTATATTTAAAAGTTCAATAAAGCTTTTAAAACTGATTATCCCTTTAATTTCAAAGAGATTCCTGCCATCTTGTCCTCTGTGTTAAATGTTACAAATCTGGAAGCCAGCAGTCTCTCGGCGGTTGTTGGAGGTACAATCGTGGCAAGAATTGGAGCAAATATTATGGTTGAATGTCCAGTGAAAGGTAAGGAAAACTGCACTGAAGTTCCTTGTAATGTTGGAATCAGAAGTTTACCTTACATCTTGAAAGAAATTACCAGTGAAGGCAGAAAACCATTGATCATTAGTCATTTTTTATTAGGCATGTCACCCACAGCAGTCCTATTTTTTTTCTGTCTGTCATTTTATTTTACACACACATGCATATGTTCAATCAGAGTTTCCTTTAAAAGTACTTTTCTTTCCATGAAGTGCTCTGAGGCTCCACTACAGAGCTTAAAGCCCACCAGAGTGAATGACTATCTTGCTGCAATAGCAAGCATGGCCAGCTGACTTGCTCATCAGGCAACTTTCCTTATCCCTATTTGAGATGCACGTATGTCTAGACTATTGTTAAAACTGAAAATGAAATCTCCAGCCATAGCTTAATAGAACTTTAAACCTGACAGTGAAGTAAACTTACCTTTTAGAGCCATCGGTCTGCAGCTGCAGTAAGGAAACAAAGAAAAGTGCCGAGCCGTGAGAGCATGTAGGTATTTTGTAGCTCAACATCTGTGGAGTAGCATTAATGTTAATTGGCAGCTACATGCATTAAGCAGTTCGCTGTTAAATTTTATTTTCTAGTCCTTTGCTGGAAAGGTAGATATTTTCTCTTTAATCTCATCATTACTATCGGTTAAGATTTAATTGTAAGATTCAACTCACAGCAGCAATATTCTGTCCGATATTTCATAAGCTAAGGTCAGCCTTTTGTGCCTTGCTGAGGATGACGTGTGGAAGTGCTAATGACAACGGGCGTGGCAACTGAGTGCGGAGGGAGACTTCAGAGAAGTCGGTGTGCCCTTCACATTCGTACTGCTGGGGGAATGCATATCAGAAAGCGTGTTGATACTGAACCAGAGTAGTGATAGAAATATATATATATGCAAATAGTTCTGCATACAATAGTGGCGCCAAGCTGGCATATATTAGGACATGTGGCTCTGCTATTCACTGTTGTACCAAGGCTAATTCTTTGATGAAGTAATATTTTCCAACTGTAGTTTGGCAACTCTATGTATAACTGACCTACATCTCAAATTCAGCAGAGAGTTAATGTCACACTGTTAATATTTTTAGGATGGGTAAGCAGTTAGCAATTTAAATATAAATTAATATTTTCACATGGGACTGTAGACTTCCAAATGCTTTAGAATTGTGTATATTCGTGAGCCAAACTTTAGTTATGCTAAGACACCAGTGTTGACTTAAAAAATGATTTATCTAATCGCTTTATTTCCTGTCATTGCCAGGGAAGTAAGTATTGCTGTTTGTGAATAAAATAGAGCTTACATGTCTTAAAATGTCACTAAGCCTAGAAGCAGAAAAACTTACAAAATTATGTAAGCAGAGTTTTTTCTGATCTCCTTTCCTTAATTGAAAAGTAATAAACCTCTGACTTTGGAAGACTGAACTTAAGAGCACTTTATGCTAATATGTTAGTCTAATAGGCGGGACCCAAAGGTCCATTTGCAGTGTAGTAGGATGAGAGCTTTGTTGTGAGTTCTGATAAAACATCAGTTGAATTATCAGACAAACAAGAGTTTGAATAATGAAAAAATACTAATATTTCTATGCACTCTAAAAGTTCTGTTCCTGCAAACAGGCAATGTGTGTCTGCAAGAGTCCTTTTCTCCTCATCAGAAGTGTCAAGCAGATCCGTCTGATCTATTGGACTCTTGCTAGCCCACAAAATAATTCTCCATAAGAAGAACCATCTAATGAATAAGGTGTCTGTGAGTGTGAAGAATATTGGTGCTATGCCACTAGCAGGATTCTTAAATTACTTTTAAATTTCTTGGCTGCAATGATTTCTGAGATTTTTTTCTATATGCTGGATAACCTATAATACTTTTTAATGGTTGTTGAAACCATAGTTTTCTCTATGAATAGATCTGTATATTGCGTTCTACATTTTGCGTCTATCAGTATAAGGTCTATTCAGGAATTTTCTTTCTGAAACACAAAAATTACGCACAAATGCAAAACGGTGAATTAATGGTTCATTTAGGAGAGAATATTATTCCATAGAGCAGAACTTCATCTGGAAGCAGCCTGCCCAACCATCTGACAAAGACAGTTCTGAAACGTGGAGAGGAGGTGATGTTTGAAGGAAAGATATACTTCCCAACTTCCGCTACTGGCTGGCTACTGGCCATACAATATACCCTTTAATTATTCAAGGCTTGTAGAGAATGACGTATATTCCACTGAAGGGGCTCTGGGTTCATTAGGCCATGCTACACAGGACAGCTCTTGCTTGATGGTGTTAATGGAAAGGGCGTGAAGTTGGGTATTACATACAGTGTTATCCAGCTGACTATAGTCAGGAACTGTAGTTTTTTCTTTTTTTCATTGTTACTGATTTGGTTCTCTTTGTCCTTTTGGGAGTCTTTCTTGCACACTTCAAAAATCACATTGAGATTGAAAAAAACTTTGAAATGCTAAAGAGCAGTGTATCCTAATAAATAGAAGAACGTCAAGGAATGGATTAAGAAAAGCTAGCTAAACTGCTGAAGCTAATAGTATCGATTTCTTTTCTCTTTTTAATTTATAACAAAACTATTTTTCCACTAATTATAATAAACTCACTTTTATAGCTCCCACACGAGCATATGCTAGAAGATATTCATAACATTCTGGATAGATTCATATTCCATTCTTACAGCCAAGAGCTTTTCAATCAACACACATGGTATAAATATCAATACTGATTGCTCCAAATTACTGTTGGATAACATTTATTGTATTTGCAGAAAAGATCGTCTTGTGATTATTACTAAAATAAACTAAAACTGTCAGACTCCATTTATTGTGAAACCTTTAAAGTTCTCAATTGAAGTCAAATAGGGAGGAAAAAAATTTAAAATATGTATAAGTGTGCATTGTCCGCCACCTGCTGGTGAGGGTCTAGAAGGGACATATACTGCGTTGAGGTCGTTTATAGTATAGACATTATATTGCATCTCTGAAATATCTTGGCACAGGGACTTTTAAAAGTAGAAGCTCCATCTTCATCCAAATTACGCATTCCTATGAATATATTTTGTGTCTCTAAGAAATAACATATTGATAAAAAAAACTTGAGAAATACACAAAACTTGTTGAATCGGGGTCATCTTTTTGCACATACGTTTCATAAAGATGGACCAGCTACTTGCTGTCGGTATTGGAACTTGAAACAGGTCCAGATAAATCAAGAATTTGATTTTCCATCTGTTCCTTCATTTACCCACGCTATTCCAAATGTAACCTTGATGCTGTTGTTTGTCTTCTATGCTTAACCTCTCAGAAGACATCTCAGTGAAGAAAACCAGCAGTTTAATACATAGGATTCTGGCTCCTCGTTTCTTTTATTTTTTTTTCCTCTGTTTTTCTAAAAGATATTAGTAAACTATTTAAAAGGTTTAAATGGGGTAAGTACAGATTTATTTTATGAGGAAGGAATGACACTATTTATAATTAATATAATAAAAGGAAAATCTTTTGGTCTTTATGCTTCTTTTTACTATAAATGCATCTATGTTAGAGTTTTTGTTTGGGTCAGGCATAAGTGGGAAGGACTGAAAGATTTACTTCAAAAGCTTAATTGTGCTTTGCTTTGTGTCTTGCAACAGTCTGGGAACCTGAAAACTGAATCCCTTTCAGGTGGTTTAAGTATATCCAAAGGAGGTTGTAGTGATGTGGATGTTGGTCTCGTCTCCCAAGTAACAAGGACAAGAGGAAATGGCCTCAAGTTGTGCCAGGGGAGGTTTAGATTGGATATTAGGACAAATTTCTTCATCAAAAGGGCTGTCAAGCACTGGAACAGGTTGACCACAGAACTGGTAGAGTTGCCATCTCTGGAGGTGTAGATGTGGCGCTTAGGGACATGGTTTAGTGGTGGACTTGGCAGTGCTAGGTTAACGGTTGGACTCGATGATCTTAAAGGTGTTTTCCAACCTAAATGATTCTATAAACTGAGAAGTCTGCCTGGGGACTATACTTACTACTTTCCAAATACTAATGGGCAGTAAGTCTGAGGGTCCTTGCACAATTCAGCAAGTAGTCCAAAGGAACCCTCACCCAAACACAAGTAGGGTGTGTTTTGGGGCCTCGGTACTATCTACGCCTCTTCACAAGCACATTCC